TTCCTCCTAAGATTCTCCACATCAAGATGAGATCTAGAATAGACAGCTTCTTCTTTCTTTTTCCTGTTCTATTACTGTTTTTTCCTTTTCTCCATTATTAGTCTTTCCAATGATTAGATTTCGGATCTGGTCTTCCCAAGTATTAAAAAAGGAAAAAAAAGTCCTCAGAGCCTGGCATACTAATTTTTACATGTTTTTAACAAGGACCTTTCCACTTTGACTAAAATTTCCTAAACAGAATGTGTGCAATATAATTTATCTCTGACTATGGCTCAAATTAGAGTTGAAACGATCAATTAGTAAAAATGACACTTGTTTAACCAAAGTCTATCAAACTGATCTTTGAGACCTATTCTTCTTATTAAGAAAAGTCAATTAAATACTTGGAGACAGGGCCGGCCCCATGGCTTAGCGGTTAAGTGCATGCGCTCTGCTACTGGCGGCTCGGGTTTGGATCCGGGCGCGTACCGACGCACCGCTCGTCTGGCCATGCTGAGGCTGTGTCCCACACGCAGCAACTAGAAGGATGTGCAACTATGACATACAACTGTCTACTGGGGCTTTGGGGAAAAAAAAAAAGGAGGAGGACTGGCAATAGATGTTAGCTCAGAGCTGGTCTTCCTCAGCAAAAAGAGGAGGATTAGCATGGATGTTAGCTCGGGGCTGATCTTCCTCACAAAAAAAAAAAAAAAATACTTGGAGACAATACAGATTTCAAATATCTCTTATTAGATTTGTGATTGCCCTTATAACTTTTTCCCCTCTTCTTCTGTCTAATATGAAGATGGCTAAATGTTACAGAGAAAATGTAAAAACCCACATAGTTAGACTCACTCTTTTATGAGACTCTTTTGACCAAATGGGGGAGTTGAGAAGCTCTTATGCTGGAAATTGTGAAGATAATGGCCCACCTAAGATGGAAGTGCTGATTGAAGTTCACTTGAAAATGTTATGTGAAGCCTGTCGCATGTGCTCCATAGCCAATCTTGACAGTTTCTAGAGAATGACTGTTTTCTTTGAAAGTCCTCCTTGGTCTATGCAAGAACATATTGTTTATATGGAGATCTTTTCTACTGAAAATAATGTACAAACATGATGTCTTGTTCCTAGACAATCTGAAGACTCTTTCTCCCCTCTTTCTGTTACATAAATTATCTTTTTTGACTTTGTTGGATGAAATCAATCTATTGCTTGACATACCTTGTACACAAGTACACAATGTGCTAATAATTAACCTTGTACACAAGTACACAATGTGCTAATAATTAACTAAATTTCTGAGTTACTGTTTGACAAACCTACCACTCTGAGCCTGTAGGGTGGTAATAATTACCTACTCATGAAGATGGGGTGAGGATTAAATAAAATAGCAAATATAAAATACTTGTCCCAGAAATGGTATCATGCCAGTAAAGTGGCTGCACAGCATTGCTCCATGATGAAAAAAGTGTTGCCTCTAGAGACAGAACTTCCAAGTTTGACTCCCAGCTTGCCACTTATTAGCTGTGAGACTTAGAGGCAAGTCATCTAATCTCTCTTTGCCTTAGTGTCCTTATCTGTATCTTGAGGATGATGGTAATATCACCTACCTTCTAGATGTTTGTGAAGATTAAAGATCTTTAATGCATGCAAAGTACTTTGAGGAGTGCCTGGCACATGGTAGGTGCTCAGTGTCTGCTGATGTTTGACAGATTTCATTTAAAACCTCCCTTATACCCCTAAAAGGACCTAAGGCAGCTTATCACTGAAGACCTTGGTAGAGGCTGGCCTTACAAAAATGATGAGAATTTCACAAGTGATTTGATGTAAAAAGAATGCCAACTGATTCCATTGTATTTACCTTGGGGAAACAGATTGGAAAAAAATGCATTTTTTTTCACACATACTTAACTAACTTTCTAGGCATATTCCTAAGGACATAAAGAATGATAGCTATCATTTATCTTGAATATTCCAGATTTGGAAGAGTGTGTAGATTCAGCACTATGCCAGGTAATACAAGCAGTTTTAAAATAAAAGGCATTAAAAATTAGCTGGCTTTTCCAAACTTTCACCCAGTGCAATCCTGGATGACTAAGCATAAAAATAAATTGGGGCAAATACACAGTTGCCTGTGACCTTTCCTGTAACACAGGCTAGGCTCTGACTAAATTCTCTGCACTCTGAATATCAGCTTGATATATCTTTAGGTACTACGGGTTCATTATAAATTAGGAAATAGAGAGTAAATCTGGAGAATGAGCAACTTTCTTGGTCTCCCACCTCAGTTCTGGGGCTGGGGGGGGTGGGCGGGAAGTGGGGCTTTTGTTGGCTCATGTAAAGACTTGCGTAGCCTTATCATCCAATAAACAATTTGCACAGTAATTAAGAGAAAGTGTTGGCTTCATCTTGCTATGGATATTCATGCCCTGGTATTAGATCCCCCAGCTGTAGGCTCAGAAGGGATGAAGGAGCGGAAATGATGGTGCTTGTCTGATTCTGTGAGGAGATATACCTCCCTAGAGGAGGCCATACTGGGGGTAAAACCTTGACCTCATCACTTACAGTCCTAAGCTTGTGTTCTGACCGTATCATATTCTCCAACAGTAAAAGAATTGGCTTCTAAAGCAATAAAGATAAAACTTGGTTCTCATTCTTTTCTCCCTCGTCTCCTCCCTTTCTCCCTTCCTTTATCTTCTTTTATTGGCCCCAACTTAGCTATAGGACAGAAAATAAAAATACTGAAGATTAAAAAGCACCCCTTTTTTGTTGAATTTGCTTAAACAATTAGGGTAATAGATGTTGGGACCTAGATTTAAAACACACACATTTGGGCTTTAACGCATTTAAATAAATATGTTCTTAAAATTTGAAAAAATAAATAAATAAAATTGTGTGTTTAAGAATGCTATATAATGATACACGTTCTGAGATCTTAAATGAAAGAAAACCTGCTAGTCTAAGAGAGGAAGAAAATTTCCTCTACCCTCTGGCTTCTTCTGGATGGTCTAAGAATTAAATTGATATGAGACAGATTAATAGGAGAAATTCAAATTTAATTAATTCCGTATGTACAGGAACCCCACATACATAAGAGAATCAGAGACCCCACATACACAAGAGGTTGAGAGACAGAAAGATAAAGTGAGGTCTATATGCCATCTTGAGCTAAGGAATGAGATAGGGGCCTGAGGCTTCAGAGGGGAGGAGGGTAATTCATGGGATGTTAAAAAGAGCAGATGTTCACTAATTAAAGGCTTGCTCTGCCATACAGATAGGTCATAAAAAGTTATTTCCAATAATAACTCTTATTATGGGCAAGGCCCTCAATTTAAATTCTTTAAGGGACAGGTAAAATTTTTTAGAGCACACAGGGTCTTGATTGCCTTTAGCTCAAAATATTTCACATGCTAAAGTGGCACGTCTTGCAGAGGTCTGTTATGAACCCCTTCACTAGCCTCAAGGGTAGGTCAAGGATGTGCAGCAGCCATCAGAGTAAGGGCTTTTTGAAGGGTTTGGAGAGTGCTCAGAGTTCTTGACTTTAAGCATCAGAGACTGAATCAGGTCCAGTTAATTCTACACACAAATAAGGCTGAGTGGATTCAAATTTTTTTTTTCCTATATTCTTCTTTTAAGATTTAATTTTTTAAGAGCAGTTTTAGGTTTACAACAAAACTGAGAGGGAGGTACAGAGATTTCCCGTATACCACCCCCCCTGCTACACACGCATAGCCACCCCCATGATCAACATCACTCACCAGAATAGTACATTTATTTATTTGCTAAGGATGAACCTATTTTGACACATCATAATCATCCAGAGACCATAGTTTACATTATGGTTCACTCTTGGTGTTGTACATACTATGGGTTTGGGCAAGTGTATAATGACATATATCCATCATTCTAGTATCATACAGAGTTTTTTCACTGCCCTAAAACGATCAGAAATTTTAATCAACTGGAAATGAAGAGAGGAGTCAATGGGACTTCAGTCTACTAGCATGTGAACTGGAGTGTCATGGATGGTCTGGAATGGGCTCAAAAGAGCTTTATCTTGCCTCTTGGATACTCCGAATACCTGAAACACACTTTGAGAGGATCTTCCCCTGCCCACTTTCTGCTTCTCCTCTCTCTCTCATGTTCTGCACTACAGCCAGATTTGCCCACACCCTGCTTTTCCTGGTTTCCTGCCTCCCAGATATGCTGGACCTCCATCTGTGAATTTTTTCCCTCCTTCCTGCCTGGCAAACTCCTACTCATCCTGCAGGCATCTGCTTGGCCATCACCTTCCCCAGGAGGTTTCTCTGACCACTCTCTACCAATTGTTCTGTGTAACGGTTGCACAGTTTGCCCTTAATTGTCATTACTTGTCTACTTGTCACCCCCCAATAGGCCCTGAACTCTGATTTGGTTACCACGGTATCTGTAGGGGCTATTACCGAGCCTGGTACACAGTACGCACACACAAATGATTGAATTAATCAATTCATTTATAAATTTTTTTGAATGCCTACTATGTACCAGGTACACATATGCATATATCAGTGAAGAAAATCATAAAATGCCTTCCCTCAGAGAGCTAGGAGTTTAGTAGAATAAGACAGGAAAACATAATAAGTAAGTAAAATAGCTGATCTGTTAGAAGGTGAGTGTCACAGAGAGGAAAAACAACAGAGCAGGATTAGGGAGATGAGGACTAAGGGGGTGGGGGAATTGTGATGATGAGTCAATGAATAAAATGCTGAGCTGAGCACGAGACCCTGATATCTGATGGGCTCAATGGAGTCAGCTTATGTGGTGAAACTTTGAGATGCTGGATGTTTGCTGGAGGATATTTATTAATCATTCGGAGACTAGATCTAGGATTAAGGAGACTAGATCTAGGATTAAGGCCTGGGCGTGATGGGCTAGTGGGAGTCTATGCTGGTGTGAATGGCAATGTTGAGTTTGCTTAATAGAAAAATCTCAGGTCAAAACAAGGTAAGTAATATTGTTCTATAAAACAGATCCCCAAAACATAGTGGCTAAACATTATAGAAGTTCATTACTCCATTATACAATGTCTTATCACAATAAGGGGATGGGGCTTGGCTCCACAGTCTTTCAGGGACAAAGTCTCCTTCCATCATGTGCCTCAGACATCCTTGGCTCTTAGAGATCTCTGCTGGAGCCTCAACACCAGGTCAGCAGATAGAAGAAGAAAGAAAAATGCCTCTGTGAGGGAGATTTTCATGGGCCAGGCCTGGAAGTGGCATACATCACTCCTGCCCACATTCTTTTGTCCAAAACTCAGTCTCAGTACCACCTACCTGCCAGGGAAGCACAGAAATGTAGACTGGCTGTGTGACCAGGCAGAAAAACAATGTCGATGGATGCAGAACAGGCAAATTCTCAGTCATCATGTCCAATTCTCTTTTGTCCTCCCCTCTGCTCCTTTCCCTTTTCCCTCTTCCTCTTACCCTTCTGTCCTTTTTAAGATGCCCCACAATGGCTTCTTGTTGGCCAGTGACCACAGCCAGCACAAAGGGAGTGAGGACAGAGTCTTGAGACGCTCTAAGCAGGGCTTTTCTTCCCTTTTTCCCCTCGCCCTGAAGGACCATCTTCTGGCTCTTGTTCCTCCAGCTGCTAAGGAGCCATCTTCGGTGATTATCTCCTTGGAAAAGGACAGTCAGTACCCTTTCAGAGTTTACATCGCAGCTGGGGAAGACAGACAGCAAACGATAGTTATTATAAGTAATTATAGAGACTATGAGAAAGGAATAAATGCTGTGGAACAGAAAAAGGGAGAGTAAGGAAAGGGGGTCAGGAGTAGCAGCAGATATAATTTTCATACTAAAATGCTTAATGTGACAACAGTAGCTAACATTGGTGTTAGTATGTGCCAAGCACTATTCTAAACACTTTACTATATTAATTCAATTCTCAAACAATAAAACATTAGCTGCAAAACACATATGAAGACCTTGGAGGGAGAACCAGTAAGGAAGAAGAGAAATCAAAGCCCTGTTGGTTATCCCTTTGAAGTGTTTTGAGTGTCTATCCCTCCTTCTCTACTGCCATCGTCACTGCCCTCATTCAGGGTGTGAGCTGTGCAGGTCGGTGTGAGTGTGAGCACACAGAGGGGGAGCTGCGGTTCCCTCCAGCACGGTCCTTGAATGTGGTGCCTTTACAACAGTGTGGAAGATAACATGTCGCATTTGCAATGGTTGCGACTACTACATTTGAAGCAACAGGGAGTCTGAAAAATGCAATATTGGAACATCAGAGTGGCACCTTGAGTCAGTAGAGATGGTCAATGGTTTGTGGACAAGACTGTGCCCCTCACCAGCTAAAGACAGAGGACTGCCTCCCCATTGCCCACCCTGCACTTCCACCAGGCTCTGCTTCCAGGCAGATCTTTCTTAAAACCTACATAAATGTAACTGTGACCACGCTTTTACAAATACATACAAAACATGTAGCAAAAGCCTCTGTCTTTGTAAAGTGAAGTCATGGCTTGGGTGTTAGATGTGTGAAGCATGGGTTATAATTACAAGTCCTCAGATTACACGAATGTTTAAACACTTGTCACAGAAACCCATATCTCCCTGCCACACTAATGTGTCAGCCCACAGGTATTAAAGGGGATTCCCATATAAACAAACCTGCCTTCATTTCCCTACACTGGATTTGGACACCTGAAGAGCATAAAATCAGGCTTGCCTTTGCTTACTTGTCAAGAGAAGGAGGAAAAAAACCTTCCATAACACCTCAAGAAACAGACTAAGCATTTATTTGGGTACATTTCCATTAGATATGTTTCATTTGACTTATTTTAAAGTGGGGGAATGACTTCATCAGCTAGCAGCCCAGAAGGATGAGCACTTGGGAGAAGGGAGGCTTCTGGGAACTGTTACAACTGCTCCACGTGGGAATAACAAGTTTGAACTCTTCAATCGGTCATCATGCAAGGGCCTTCCTCATCCCTCATAGGCAGTTCCACAAGGCTCACCCCCAAGCACCTCACCTTAGACAATCTCCACCACCTGGCCTTTGTCATCATGTCTCCTTTGTGAAAAGCCCTAACACCTTTTCCTCACCTGACAAATTCCTACTTACCCTTTGAGACTTAGCTCAAATGTAATTTACAGGACAATGACTAGATCATATTTATGCTTTACATAAGAGTATACATGGACTCAAATGCTAAAAGGTGTGGGTTTACTACACAGGACCACCATCCAACAGCTGTGTCAGCTGGGAAACTCAACCTCTCCTAGCTTTAATTTCCTCTATAAAGCAGGGAGAATGATAGTAGGTACCTCATAAGGTTGTTGCAAGATTAAATGCATTGGTGTCTATAAAGTGCTTAGAAGACTGCCTGGCACAGAACAAACCCCCAGTAAACCTTAGCCATTGCCATTATTATTATTGTTCTCAGAGTCATGTACAACATTAGGTATCTGATGAATTATAGAAGTGAATTAATCAATCACTCTTTTTACAGCAGGAGCAAACGGGCTATATACATGTCTATTCCCACCATTGGTCACTGCTGGACACTGTTGCATCTCACAACTAAACCAATGAAAATGAGTGACACTAGAAGATAAATAGAAGTATTTTTAATGATCATGGAAGGATCAATAAAAACCTGGCTAAAACATCTTTTATTCAGAGAATAAAAATATTAAATGTTCATTGTAGAAATATGTAAAGAGAGAAATATATAAAGAAGAAAATTAAAATAATTCCTAGCATCTCCTTTTTATATGTATATAAGATATGTGTATATATGAGTATGAATATATATGATATATCTATAAAAAATATATAACATATAAAGCAAATTTAGGTATCACACTATATATATACATATATATAAATTTCCCAGGTAATATGCTTAGAAACACAATTTTTATGGATGTATCATTACTTATGTAATTAGTCCTCTGTTGTTGGCTGAGATTGAGTTCCATTTTTATGCATTATAGAGCATATGGATAATACATCTTTGTACACAAATCTTTGTTTAAATATTTATTTCCTTAGGATAGACTTCTAGAAGTAGAAATACTAAATCGCAAGAAAAAAAACATTTTTTAAGGCTCTTAATATATATATTGCTAAATTTCCATACAGAAAAACCATGCCAATTTATGATCCCAACATAATACGAAAATTCCTGTTTTACAGCACTCATATTTACACTGAAAATTTTTTTAAAGCATTGTTAACCTGATAGGCCAAAAAAAAAATTCATTGAAATGTCATTTCCTTCATTATTAGTGAGGGTAATTTTTCCCCATGTTTTTATTAGCTGTGATCCCATAAGAAATAAACTGCCACAAAATGATGGACATGGCTGCAATTATTCCACGGGAAGACACCTTATAAAGAATAAGTAGGATCTTTGGTTAAGACAAAAAAACTAATATTTATCAGGTGCCTCCTCTGCCCAGGACCGTGCTGGAATAATAAACTTAGTTTGGCTGCATGTAACTGAAACTACTTTTACCTACATTGTCTCTTATAAGCCTCCTAACCACTCCATGGGAAAGAATTGCTAAGAACCCATCTGCTAAGGATTTAATTACGTCCCCCTAAAATTCATACATTGAAGCCCTAACCCCCAATGTGATTATATTTCGAGACAGGGCTTCTAGGAGGTAATTAAGGTTAAGAGGTCATACAAGTGGGGTCCTAATCCAATAGGATTGGTGGCCTTATATGAAGAGGAAGAGAGAGAGAGTGCTCTTCCAACTCATGCACCAAAGAAAGGCCATATGCGGACATAGCAAGAAGGCAGCTGTCTACAAGCTAGGAAAAGAGCTCTCACCAGACTCTGACCATCCTGGCACCCTAATGTTGGATTTCTAGCCTCCAGAGCTGTGAGGAAATAAATTTCTATAGTATTTTGTTCTGGTAGCCCGAGCGGACTAAGACTGTGTCATTGCTGTAACTTACAGACAAGGAAATTGAATAAGACTAGGAGAAATACAGTTAAACTTGTCCAAGGTCACAAAAATCAGAAACAGGCAAAGTGGGAAGCTAACCCAGTTCCCCTTATTCCAAGGCCAAGGCTCCTCCATTCCATATGCAGGCAGTAGCCTCAGAGAGTCAAGAGCTATGTGTCCCCAGAGCCAGCATTAAACTGACTTGTCACCAGGAGATAAATACCTAATCCTAAATAAATATGCTCTGACCACTCACTTATGAAAAACGTTGAACCTCGTGAAAAACTAAAATGCAAATTATGTACAAAATCATTTTACCTATCCAATTGAAAACGGTAAAAGCATAATGATATCCTTACAGTATTGGAGGGGTTTGTATGTGTGGTGAAAAAGGCTCTTATACTGGTCCTAGAGTAATGCCTGAGAGAGGTAAATAAACTGGAAGGATATACGTTGTAAATTATTTTTTTTTAAAAAAAGGAAAGATATGAGATAAAGGTGGAAATTAGATTGGCCATGTGTCCATCCATCCATTCAATGGGTATGCACAGATAAGCCCCTCCCACACACTAGGCAGTGTCACGATAGGATTCAGCAGTGGACATGGGAGACAAAAATCCCAGGCCTGTGAAGTCAGCATGCTCATGGAGAGGTACTGTCTACTGAATCAATATTCGTATTTTAGTTATGGATGCACTGGGAGACATTTCACAGAAACCCAGCTACAGTGGGTTAATCAGAAAGCGATCTGTTTTTCCCAGTTAGCAGGAAGGCTAGGCTGGTTTGTCAGAGGCTGTGAGGAGCTGCTCTGGCTACCCAAGTATACAGGTTCCTTCTATCATCCTTTGCTAATCATCCTTCAGGTAGCTTCCAACAGCATGGTCTTCTGCAGCACCTCTGGGTGTCAGATCTATGTTCCAGGTAGGAAGAAGGGGTAAGGGCAATGGGAAATAGACATGTGCCTTCTGCGTGTATCCTCTTATTATTGGGAAGTTTAAGAAAAAAGACTTTCTGCTTCTTTCTGATGATTCCATATTCTGGATTAAAGTGCAACAGAAAATTCACTCTAAGCTCTAATGCTTGTGTCTCCCTACTTTCAAAACTGACTAATTAGCAGGGGGCCAGCCCCATGGTTTAGCAGTTAAGTGCACACGCTCCGCTACTGGTGGCCCAGGTTTGGATCCCGGGCGCACACCGAGGCCCTGCTTGTCTGGCCATGCTAAGGTGGCATCCCACATACAGCAACTAGAAGGATGTGCAACTATGACATACACCTATCTACTGGGGCTTTGAGAAGAAAAAGGGAAAAAAAAGGAGGAGGATTGGCAATAGGTGTTAGCTCAGGGCCAGTCTTCCTCAGCAAAAAGAGGAGGATTAGCATGGATGTTAGCTCAGGGCTGATCTCCCTCACCAAAAAAAAAAAAAAAAAGACTGACTCATTAGCATCCATGGAGCTTGGGAAAATTATTTCAGTCACCTAGCAATGAGCTATTCATAGAAAGGTTTTGGACATAAGTCTACACTGTTAGCATTATACGTGTTAGTCACAAATTAAAAAACAGCATGATATGAGTATGTATATTTACTTACATATAAATAGCTGGTCAGAGAGGTTGGAATGTCAATAAGAACAGAAATAAGGTTACCTGAATGGCTCTTCCAGGGGGTTTCCAGCTATGCAAACAGCTTTTCTTCCAGGTCAGTCAATTCCAGTGCTTTCTAATTAGATGGTGGATAGTTCCTGTGTTTAGTTCCTCTGTCCTCTGAGAAGTTTTCCAGAACTCCTTCTGAAGATGTGCAGTTTATAAGGAACAGGCTGAACGAGTCATTCAGGTCCATCTGACTCAATAGAGAGGACATTTTCGCTGCCACCCTCTCTCAAAATGATTTCTCCACCTTGAAATCCTGGCAGATTATTGTCCTGGACACTGATTTGGGCATCTAACAATTGTTGTCATTGCATATGCTTAAATCTTACCTCCCAAATAAGTAAAATGGTAATTTCTTTAGTTTAGAGACCAAGTAATACTTATTTCTTAATTTAAAAAATATTATGTGCATGTCCCTCAGCCCTGGAACAGCCTCATGCCTGCATTTGATATTCATTAAATATTTGATGACTTTTAGAGACGACTTTCACAAAACATGGAATTATCCACATACCCTGTCTACAAAACAAACAAAATATTTACTCAACAGTTCAACAAGCAACCGATCAAAATAAAATAATTTGAAAATGAAGAAATCAATTGAAAATAGTGTCAACGTTAACTGTGAAATAAGGTCTGCAAAGATGGTTGAAAACCAATATAAAGTTCAAAAATAGTTATTGAAAAAGGACAAAACATATGAAAAGGGAATAACAGTTTTAAAAGATAGGTCTAAATCTTAGACATCAGGAAAATCAAAAAAGTGGATAGAGCAGGCTGGGAAGTGAGAGGCTGTCAATCTCACTGAAGATAGTGATCATCCATAGATGCCCTTATTTTAGTCACACACACACACACTTAGAGGGAAATATAGGATAAGCATTTTTAAAAACAGTCTAGAATGTTAAATTAATATTAAAAATGGACTGTACACTTTTCATATCACCAGAGAATGAATTTATGATTTATATGTTTAAAAGAAAACAACTCTTATTTTCTTTGTGATTGTTCCCATTGCTTTACTATTTACAAGTTAGAGATGCTAGCAAAAGTTTATCTACAGAAATGCTTACGGCAGTATTCTTCCAAAAATGAAAGCTCAGGAGGTTGAATTTCCTACAATAGAGAATTTTTTTTAAATAAAATTACAGTATTGCTACACACACACACACACACAAATGTCATAAAAAATGTAATTACAGGAACATCAGTCCTGACGTATTAAGTGAGAGGGAAAAAAAAAAGGTGACCCAACAGAGGTGAGATCTGTAGCTACCTAAAAGAGGCCGAAGAATGAGACAAGAGGAGCAGAGGCTTTTGAAGGCAGACTTCCTGGAATCAAATACCAGCCTTTCTGCTCACTAGCCCTAAGATCTTGGCAAGTTATGTGACTTTTCTGTGACTTAGTTTCTTCATCTGTGAAATGAGTTCCTATATTTTTTTCCTTTTTTTTTTTTTTTTGGTGAGCTAGACTGTCCCTGAGCTAACAGTTGTGCCAATCTTCCTCTATTTTGTATGTGGGACGCTGCCACAGCATGGCTTGATGAGTGGTGTGTAAGTCCGTGCTCAGGATTCGAACCAACTCCAGCCTGCTGAAGCCGAGCGTGCAAACTTAAGCACTACACCACTGGGCCGGCCGCCCACCTTTTTTTTTTTTTGAGAGGGGGAAACAACTTGAAACAATGACTGGCACAGAGTAAGCACTATATATATGTATGTGTGAGTTTTTATGGTATCTTTTAGATTTCTAATGCAAAATATGAATCATAGTTCTTTCTTTGGCTTTTAAATTGTGGAATCTAAGAATTTTTAAAAATTGTCTAGTTCTATGCTACTTTTAAAGCAACAGAATGATATGTTCTGTCAACCCAAAAATATAAGAGTCAATCCACTCCACAACTCGACACCTAAGTCATTGTCATTTGATGGCAGGAACTGTCAGGGATCACCAAGGGTCAGAGAAACCAAATACATGTTGAAGCATAGGGTCCTTGATAAGATGCACCTGTAATCTCCCTAAGGAGAAAGATTCTTCAAACTGAGTGTCACAGTGTATTAGTGGGCTGTGAAATCAATCTCATGGTCTGCAACCAGCATTTAAAAAAAATAAAATAGGCTAGATTAGACTATATCAGAATACAGGAACTTAAGGTAGTATTGTTTCCTGAATTTTTCTTTCAGGTGTGTGTGTATGGGACTGTGTCAGTGTGTATGCATGACACAGAGAGAGACAAAGGGACTTTTCTACCTCACTTTTGCAATCAGACGTTTGAAAGTCTTATTTGATTTCTACTTCAGAAATATTTCAAATGTTGACTCTCTGCTTTCTCACACTGTCTCCTTAAGTGAAGCCCTTGTCTTCCTTGTGAGACTATTGCAACAGACTACCGACCTCTGACATTGGGCCCTTCTCAGTAAGGACTGTTTATGTGAAAAATCTAAAGCAAAGACAACCACAACAACAACAAGACAACTACAACAACGATACACAAACTCTCTCCTTAAAAACCTCTGGTCGTCCCCAGCCTGCAGCATAACAACCAAATTTCTCATGCAGGCATTTGGGGATCTCCAAAGACGGTCCCTATGGAGTTTTCCTGTGCTGAACTCTGGGCTCTGGCCGCAGTAAACTGCTCCCTCAGCACCCTTCTGGAAAGCCTGGCCTTCATGAGCAAACTCGTATATCTGGACCTCTGACAAAGAGGAGTCCTAGGACAAAGCCAGAGAAGCATCCTGGATATTGTTCCAATAACTTTTCCCAAAGCTCTGCAGACACACCTGCGATACCAGTCCTGTTAGAGATCTGGGTCTGTGGTTCCACTGAGCTCTTCAGGCCAGGGATCCTGCCTCACATTTTATAGTAAATTGAGGGCAGGCACTGTATCTGTTTCTCTGTGTGTGTGTGTTTGGAAGTGGGTGGTGGCGGGGAGTGGGGGGTTGAATTAATGAAACCAGAAGCAAAACTCAATTGAGGACACCAGCCACTAGGGTGATCAGATTTTGGCCAAGTAGATATCATGTGTAAGATCCATGTTATTTACTCCATCCTTGAGGGTTTTCTATCAAGCTGCAGGGTCTGAGGAGTGGTTTTAGTCACAAGCAACGCAAATGCTTTAGAGATTATGATTTATTAGATTGCATATGCCCAAATAAGATCATACTCGGCAGTTTCTAGACAACTCTATAAGCATCTTCTAACTCTGCAGTGAGACATTTAAGAGATGTGTTACTTCCCTCATGTACATAGATAGTTTTCAATAAAAATCAGGGCGTGACTAATTGATTTTCTCCATTGATTGGAAGCCAACCATTTGGAAGAACACTCAGAAGAGATGAGTTAGGTCTCTTGCTAAAAACTGCTTTTAAATTTACAAGGAAAAGAGGAAATTTTGTTCTTCTCTTTGAATTTTGCTGAAAATTGAGGGCTTTATCAATTAGTCTTGGCATACAGGGTTGTTTTTCATTAAAAGGCGAAAAGGCATGAGAAATTTGAGTGTCCGTGGATCACTCGGCAGTGGTACCTGGGCGATTCTGCGCAGAGGATTTTTGTGGGATTCAACTTTTGGGGGTAAAACAAACACAATTGCTCCTCCCACAAGGGGCGGGGGCGGTGCCTGGGCGATGCACCAATCACAGCGCACCCTGCCCTATATAAGGCCCTGCGACTCTTCAGGCGTTTCACGCCGGTCGCTGCATGTTATTTCTTGTTGTGCGATGTGGCTATCTCTGAGACTGCGCCTGCAGCCTCAGTGAAACTTGTTGTGACTTCTATGGAGAAATCGTCAGTTAAGAAACGAGGAAAGAAGCCAAGTGGCTTGACTGTTGTAGGCCGCAAGGTTCCGGGTCTGTCTGTGTCAAAGTTAATCACTGACGCTCTGTTACTGTCTCAAGAGAGAGGGGGTATGTCGTTGGCTGCGCTCAAGAAGGCGCTGGCAGCCGCTGGCTACGACGTGGAAAAGAACAATAGTCGCATAAAATTAGGTCTGAAGAGTTTAGTGAGCAACGGCACTCGGGTACAGACCAGGGGTACTGGCGCCGCTGGCTCCTTCAAGCTCAGCAAAAAGGCTGTTCCTGCGCCCACTAAGGGCAGGGTCAAGAAGACCGCTTCTGCAAAGACCAGGGAGGTGGTTTTGTCCAGAGACTCCAAGTCTCCAAACAGGGCTACGACTGATAAGCGAGCCAGGAAACCAGGGACAGCAGCAGTTCAGAAACCTGCCAGGAGCAGTAGCAAGTCTAAAGGAGCCAAGAGCAAGCAACAACTCAAGAGTCCTGCAAAAAGCAGAACAGCGATGGGCAGGAGGTCAAAATCGACCCAGCGAAAAACAAACCGTAGGAAGGTGGTGTCTGAGAAGTAAGCTTCATGGAAAGCCAGTTTTCAAAGAACCTAAAGGCTCTTTTAAGAGCCACTTAAGTAGTCCTAAAATGCTGTGGCATTGGAAGGTTCTAGAAGTTTTCAAGACGACGAGGCCAACGTCATTGCCTGCTCATAAACCAGTAGTTTTGGTGAGGTGAAGTAGTCACAGAGACGTGGTAAAAGATCCCAGATAAGGATATCCAAGTAATACCAAATCCAAAAAACAGTATGTGCACTATACTTACAAAAAAGTTGCTTTGCAGTATAAACTTCTAAATACATTTCTGGTACTATGGTTTGTTGAGCAAAGTGGAGATCTGCTCTGACCAAATTTTTTTTTTTTCCTGGGAAGTGCTATGTGCTAGTTTATACCATCATATGTGGGTGCTGTCCTAACCAAGACTTAACTTGGTGTCCAGATTTTAGGAGTCAATATACAGAAATCAAGGTGTGAAAAAGGTGTTTGTGGGAAGTTTTTGAGTCATATTTTTCAACTGAAGTTTCCTTAGATTGTATTGTCAGGGAAGAGGGAGAATCCCCTTTCACCCCTTCTATTAAGGTTTTTCTGGTTGGTCAAATAAGACATTAGCAGGAGAAAATGATACCAAATTTAATAACATATACGTGGGAGAAACCAGACACACTGAGTTTCTCAACACAATAGCAGATTCTCCTCTTAAATGCCATCTTCAGCTAAAGATGGAGGAGGATGCTGGGGGTGGGTGGTGTTTTGGGATTTCAGAGGGGAAGATAATTTACATGGAGAGGGAAATGTAAATGTTTGTCAGACAATGCTTTGCAGGACCACCTATAGAGAACGTGGCCAGAGAAACAGGAATTATAGTGATCAAGAGTAGTAGATTTAAGTCTTTGTCTTCCACCCAATAAGAGTTTTCACAGATAAAGCCATCTCCCCCACCCCCCAGTCTTCCCACTACACAGAGAGATACCTTTACAAATGTAAATATTTGGTAAACAGAACTTTAAGAATGGGCTTAGTGAGGACCCTGCCAGTCTGTCTACACCCAGAGTTAAATTCCTTTAGGCAGTCTGGGGGAGGTCAGATGTGTGTCGGAGAAAATAATCAAGGTAAAGAGACATTTCAGAGTGGCCAATTTTGATCTCCCACAGTATGATCAACAGACAGAAACCAAGTATTTTCAGTTTACATTTGCAAGAATAGTGAAATATCACTTATTATTTACGAAGTACTATAGGTTCTAGACGTTATTTGATGTGTTAAAAAGCACATATAGGGCTGCCCCGCGGCTTAGCGGTTAAGTGCACTCGCTCCGATGCGGGCGACCCGGGGTTCGGATCCCGGGCCGCACCGACGCACCGCTTCTCCGGCCATGCTGAGGCTGCGTCCCACATACAGCAACTAGAAGGATGTGCAGCTATGACATACAACTATCTACTGGGGCTTTGGGGGAAATAAATAAAATTAAAAAAAAAAAAGGCACATATTGTCAAAACAATTGGAGTGATAATTATTTTAATACAACTAATTCTATATATTTTATTTATGAACATAGTGTATAGGCTTATGCAGATTGCACTCCACGGGCTGAAAAATGTTAACCCTAAAACCTTTATAGAGGAAATGTTGGAGGTTGCAGGGGTGTTAGGGTCTGAATTGAACTTTCCTAAATCACAAAAACTGCGTGTGTTAGGAAACTCTTAGGGTCTGAGTTAAAGCATCTTTCTTGTTTTAAAATCAGTTTATTTCAGTTTTCACTTTTGTGACATAGCATTCTTATTTAAAGATAATTGTAAATATTAAATTCATAACTGTTAATCTTACTTTGGGCCTTGGTATTTGGGGCAACTTTGAACAAAGCCCAACACATAAACTGTATGTGGTGTTCTTTGACATACAAGTTCAATAGATAACTCACTAGGACCTAGCCTTTTTGAACTCATTTGTATAGTAGTTGGGCCTCAAAAAAAATTAAATTGTGTCCTATAATGGAAAACCACTCAACATAAAGGTTTCAATTTCTACGGAATCAGCCTCAGCCCATGCCTTGCTTGGATATGGTGGCCTGTTGCAGGAATGAGCTGCACTTTCCCGACAAGGCAGTGAGCTCCTTGTCTGACCGCTGTGCCCAGCAGTAGATTGACGCCAGACTGTCATCACAGAGGAAAAGAATGAAGGACTGGCCTCATCCCGCCCAGCAGCTGGCCGGTCTCCCAGCGCTACTCGACTCCATCTAGAACCGGTTTGGCGACATGCACAGCCTTTGCTCAAGGCGCCTTGTAGCGCCAAGCATACATCAGGTTAAAAACCAAGTTAACCAACCAAAGCTTTTCCTCCAGTTCCAGGAACGGCGATTAAAGCCCTCAATTGTTTTGGCCAATAGGAAAATGGCCCTGGAATCCCACCCGCCCGCCGCAATTTAAGTGGTTTTTCGCACTACACCGAGTATCGTCCAATGAAAGCTTGTCCCCAGAGAGCCTTCATTTACATAGCCTTGTTGTGTAAGTTGGCTATGTGTGACCCTTTGTGCCATGGATGCCTCCAGTCATCCGGCTAAGTACAAAGGATCTTTGGGAATGCTTTGAAATACATAAAACGTTTGCATTTCTTTCACGGAATCACTTTTGTTGGCATCATTCAGTCGTGTTCAGTTATAACCCTCTGGATACTTGCACCCTGCGCTTTTTATGAGTTGAACACGTTAGTAAAATGCCCCCTGGTTATTTAACTGCATTATAAAATAGTAACGCACCAGCGATCTCATACATGCCGCCTTTCGATTTTACCTACTAAACTTTAACATTTCCGCTCAACAGCTCTTTGGGTGACTTCGTGGGCGGCCCTGAAAAGGGCCTTTTGGTTTTTAGTGCTGCAGTTACCGCACATCCTCTGTTCTCAACCGCCGAAGCCGTAGAGAGTGCGGCCCTGGCGCTTGAGCGCGTAGACCACGTCCATGGCAGTGACCGTCTTGCGCTTCGCGTGCTCGGTGTAAGTGACAGCGTCCCGGATCACATTCTCCAGAAACACCTTCAGCACCCCACGAGTTTCCTCATAGATGAGACCCGAAATACGCTTGACGCCCCCGCGGCGAGCCAGACGCCGGATGGCAGGCTTGGTGATTCCCTGGATATTGTCACGCAACACCTTTCGGTGGCGCTTGGCGCCTCCTTTTCCTAAGCCCTTCCCGCCCTTACCACGGCCAGACATGGTTGTTACCGCAATGACTTCTCAGACTTGACGCAGATCTTTAAATAGCACATTTGCGGACCTGATTGAAAACAACATGCTCTGGTGGAGTTTTTCCAAATTAGGTCAGCAAAGAGGTGGAGCTAGGTGAATAGTTATTAACATCTCAGTGTTTTGATTGGCCAATGAAACCTCGCTCTTTGGACTGGCTGAAAGGGGAGGTACAGATTTCATTCCGCTGAGAAGCTTTAGTCTTGTCATCCATTATTTTTTGCACGCGCATTTGTAAGTTGAGTGTATTCTTAGCAGCCCAAAGACGCTGAGTAAAGAGCTCCACTCCACGTTTCTTTTTATTTGCACTTAGCAACTAATCAATTAGATAATGGTTCCTTGGGGAATGTAGAAATAATATGTAAAGACGGGTGGATTTATAGGTCAAGGGACTTTCCCTCTCAGTTCTTTCAATGTGCCTATCTAATGGTACACATTTTGACGGCCTTCTCTGTACTGGACAAAATATAAGCCTGGCCATGAAGAAGCCCTGGCCATAAAAGTCCTGTGTTTGGAAAGACAAAAAGGTACATAAACAATTGCAAATTAAAACTTCTTCCTTTTCTTCTCTATCTCTATCCAGACATTTATTGGGTGACTCCTTTTTCTGCAAAAGTCTGAGAGAGTCGTAATCACTTGCCTCTGGACCCTCTTCCTGGCCTGCTGCGCCTGTCTGATCTGCCTGCAATCCCTAGCAAGCTCCCCTTCTCTCCTTTATTAATCCCTTTTCAACCTTCTCCAGTTGTAGAGACAGGAACATACGTTTTGTAGACTTGGGGATTATTTGTAGGGCAGGGGTAATACTTGATTAAGGTCATTACAAAGTCTATAGGGCCGGCCCATGAGAGGCCTTTAATGAGATTATTGGTGTTTTAAACAAGGCTAATCCCATGGAAAAAAAAAAGAATTGGATCTAAATGTGGTTTGAAACCAAAAATTTCTCCTTAGATGCCTGCTGCAGCTTTTGAAAATTTCTACACTTAAGAGTCACTCTAATTAAAAGGAAAAAAAAAAAGACACACCGTTCCCCATCCTGGTTAATAAATAAATGCCTATTGTGGATCCTTAGAATGAAACTATGGCCTGCGAGGGACCACATAGTATAACTTCAGACTTACTCAAGTCAAAAGAGAGAGGAGACCCGGGGAGGGAGAGAAAAGACCCAGACCAGAAGAGAAAAGCAAAGCTCTGAATGGCATATGGTTTGTAATACTTCTGAAGTAATTAAGTGGTTATATTCTTCTGCCCCCAAATGAGAGTTTTTAGGTTGCTGACTTTCACTATCCACTCCCCTCCACAAATATACTTCTTATAAGAGGAGAGTTAGCTAGGAAGAAATGTCAAGCAGTGCAGAGGAAAACAGAAAGGTGTGAGGTCATAGGTAAAACTGAAATCTCAACATGATTTTTAATTAATGAAAATAAATAAAATTAGAATGTATACAATATATTAATTTCATGCAAAAACACATAGTGTGAGCCACCCTTGATACACATCCCAGCACATCTTCATTTACACTAGAGGTCTAGATGAGTGTTCCCCAACTTTATTTTGCCTACTATATCATTAATAAAACCTCACTTTTATTTTTACATCTAATTTATTCCTTTTTTCTATTCCTTCCTCCTCATTTTCCCTTTTCTAAATTTTTTTCAATGACATCGAGTCAAAAATCATCAATGTTCGGGGCCGGCCGATGGTGCAAGCGGTTAAGCATGTGTGCTTCGCTTCGGCGGCCCAGGGTCCGCAGGTTCGGATCCTTGCCGCACACCGATGCACCGCTTGTCAAGCCATGCTGTGGCGGCGTCCCATATAAAGTAGAGGAAGATGGGCACGGATGTTAGCCCAGGGCTAATCTTCCTCAGTAAAAAGAAAGGAAGACTGGCATTGGGTGTTAGCTCAGGGCTGATCTTCCTCACAAAAAAAAAAATCATCAATGTCAGAACAGAAATATTAAAAAGGTATACACGTATAGATATATATGAAAAATGGATCCCTCCATCTGTAGTACTTGGTCATGTGGCTTGAGGGAGGGGTGGCTCACTCTGGAACCTGCATGGCTTCATATTCTTCCTTTTCACCTTTCTTTCACCCTCAGAGTGAACCTGGCTTCACAGAACCCCATTCATTCAACATGTGAGCTAGGCCCATCAGATAAAATCCCTGCAAATAAGTCATGGCTAATAGGTCACAGGAAACATTGGAACAAATAAAACTATGGTATGAAGCATAGGTCTTATAAAAATATGAAATGCCCAGAACCACCTCCACAGACTAACCCTATCAAAGTATCAGAATATACCATTCATATATAGAGGAGCAGTCATATACAGATATAGATGACATATAACTGTCACTTATAGACAGCTCCTCTAGCCACTGGCTGATTTGTATATATATTCAACAAACAATTCCAATACTTGACTAGGGTGGAGAACTGCCAGCATATATCATCGCTTTTAAGTGTAGAATTATACTTAGTGAAAAGAAATCCCAGGGTATGAATGCTTTTGAGCTATATTACAGTTGAGGAAATGCATAAGTTCAGTCTTACCCAACTTAGTCTGCCAGGCTTTATAGCATTACAGGAGTTATCTGCAGGCATTTGGGGACATCACTCCTGGTCTAGGACACACAGCTCCTCTAGCCACTGGCTGATTTATCTCACTCCCATCTAAGACTTCAATCTATTTCTCTTTTTCAGCCACCTAACCTTTACCCTGGTATGAGTATCCATTTTCTTATTCACTTCCCCTTAATCAAACTGTCATTCCCATTGTCATGTCTCTGGTTCCATAACATAAATTAAGTCTCTTCCTATTTTCCTTACTTCCTCTCCTTACTCTTCTAGGAAAACATTCCTGCTTTTTCTCTTCAGTCCAAACTCTTTTACTAAAAGTTTTTGTCCTTTGCACTTTCTAGGCCTGCTGTCGTTATGTGGGCTCTCTCCCATAAACATCCTTAATACATGTAACCTACTAAAGAAAAAGTCAACTGGACAGGGAATTTCTAACATTATCCTTTCTCATACATTTGTTTGTTTCAAAATGTTTATAAACATTTTTGCAATTAAGTGATTTTTCAAAATTCCCTTGAATACTTTCTCAATTACATACACAAAACACAATGAAAGTATTTTTCGTTTGTTTTGATGGTGAAACTATGAACCCAAACGTACACAAAGGAAAATCATTTTAACTGTTACATCCATATTTTAAACAGATGCTCTCTCGAACACATAAGCAAGCTCTTTTGGCAGTACTGAACTTGGTCATTGACTGTTTTATGAAAGTGCCATTGTGGTAACTCTGTTGAAGGGATAAAATCCAGGATATTTAACCAACTCATAAAATTAGGTTCACTGGCAAGACTTATACAGGAGTTTATACAAATATCAGTACTTAACCCCCAAAGAATGCACTGAAGGCCCCAAAATTCTCTTTTAGAATCTTTGGATAAAAAGCCAAAATTTGATTTTTAAAAAATTAATAAGAACAATAGTTTCTGCCCAAATCTGGTGAATAAAATGATTCACAGCTACTTCAAAGCTACCCATCTCAAAATTTCTCCCTGAATAATAAAGAGAATAAATAGAAACATGAATTCAATAGTTAGAAATTTGTGTATAAACAGGAAAAAAAAATCCTTAAATTGAAAAATACACCGAAAGAAAATGTTTCAAAATATTTATGAAAAAATTATGGGGATACGGCAAATTCTGAAATGTTAGAACAGGTTCTCTCCTCACTGTAGGAAACATCAGAGGAGCTGCCTGTAGGCAGCAGAATGGATACTTAAAGGAGTATCCTAAAAAGATGGTAACAATGCTACACCACGTGTTTTCTTGACTCAGAGATAGGTATTGTGTACTGGTTTTGAGCTTGACTCTGAGCCAGACTAGCTGGAATAAAAATCGAGCACAATCATTTTCTAGCTGTGTAAACGTCACCAAGTTAACTAACCTCTCTGTGTCTTGGTTTCCATATGGCAAAAGAAGGGTAACAGAATAACAATAGTTCCTACCTCACAGGATTCTTCAGAGAAATTAAATTAATATTTAGAACAGCGCCTGGCATCTAGTAAGTATTTAATAATTATTAGCTGAAAAAAATAGTTTTTAGAAAATATTCATGCCATGAAAGACCTACTGAAAATGCAAATTCATCCAGCCAACAAATAAAAGATATAGAAGCACCTGCTTAAAACCAACATATATATCTCTCACACACATATCTCTCACAAAAACACTTTAAAGAATTATTGAGAAACAGAATATGTGAGATACCAGAATGCATGCCATGCCGAGTAATAAATGCATACAGGATGTCAAGGCAACCCGGGCTTTCTAATAAAATTGTCACACAAAAGAATTTAAGATTGTATTAATATTCTACATGTTAATCACTGATTCAAAAAGGGAGAACAAAAAATGACGACCCAAGGTCTGCAGAAAAAAATCAAAATTACAAATACCTGTCCACACATGGGAAAATCTTTAATGTTTAAAGTCACGCATTTCTGAATTCTAGTCATTATTAAATTAGAATGTGGTTAGAAAAAAATAGTAGTATATAAGAAACTTCCAGCATTTTGGAGAAGGTGTTTTGTTTTTAAATGTTTGTGTGTGTGTACATGAACAATGCATCAAGTACACACAGCACTGTAAGACTATATTATTATAATATAACATGAGAATTTTTGTCTGTACCTCCCAGCAGGCCTTAACCGTTGCTGCACGTTGCCTCAGAGATGACCAGGTTCACTTGTTTTCCTTCTGTTCTGTTCCCAGTTCAGGTCGCTCAATCAGCCCTGTGATTTTGCGATTCAGACAGCTGGTGAATAGTTTGTTCTTTGCTTCTTCAAATTTTCGGGGGCTTTTCTCCACAGGTGGTCTCCAGTGACCCACTCCTTGTCTATCCCTTTCCCCTCATGAAAACCCCCAGCCCCAGCTGTCTCTCTAGTCACATGACCACTGTGACACTTTTGACTACGGCCACCAGATGTCTCTCTTCTCTTAATTACTACGCTTGGCAGGTGGTTTGGCCAGAGGTGAAGTTAAGATACAGAATTTAAAATGTAGGTCTCTGATTTTTCAAATGTAGTTGATCTTAAGAACTGATGAACAAGGCCAGAAAAATGAAGCTAAGAAACACTGAAAGAAAATGGAAATTTATAACTTCACTTATAAAAAACAAATTAGCAGGGGGCCGGCCCGGTGGCGCAAGCGGTTAAGTGTGCGCGCTCCGCTGCGGCGGCACGGGGTTTGCTGGTTCGGATCCCGGGCGCGCACTGACGCACTGCTTGGCAAGCCATGCTGTGGCGGCGTCCCATATAAAGTGGAGGAAGATGGGCACAGATGTTAGCCCAGGGCCGTCTTCCTCACCAAAAAAAGAGGAGGATTGGCGGATGTTAGCACAGGGCTGATCTTCTCACCAAAAAAAAAAACAAAAAAACAAAACAAATTAACAGGCCACAGTTGCTGATGATTAGTAAACGTGTAACTGTGAGGACTAGGTAGGGTGTTTCTAGAAATCTCAGCCTATGTGAAAAAAAACAATATAAAACAAACCATTGCCTAATTAACTGTAACATATCCTTACGGAGGTAGAAGAACAAGGGAAGCTTTTTGGCAGATCTGCTCTGAATATAGGATGATATTTAAAGAGAAAGAATTTATCAGTGTGCTTCTAGCATGGTTTGGAGGTAAAATGATCAATGTGTTACAACTTAGATGATAATGTCCCTAGAGTGAAGAAAAACAATTAATTCAGCTATCATAGTTTAATGAAAATATTCCATAAAACAAAACAAAAAAATTAGACGCAAAATGACATAATGATTAAGTCGATTAAGTATGGACATGAGATGGACAAATGTATCAGAAAAATCATGCAGTACACAACACAACTAATCGTGCATTTATTAAAATATATGTATTTGTTAATTTTCTATATTTTAATATAGAAATAATACTGAGAGGAAATACACAAATTGTTAATAGAGTTTATCACTGGTTAATGGAATAAATTTCAATTGAATTCATTTTCAACTTTTCTACAGTAAGCACAAATTACATGTATTTTTATCCACTTAACTTTTGTAACCAGAAAAAAAGAAAAGTTTAAAAAAATAGTTGAGATCTCTTTGCCCAAATTCAAGATGTACCAAACAAACTTTCGAATTGTATTTGGTCTCTTGAGGCATCTGCCCTCCAAAACACAATGTCTTGTACCAGTTACGCAGCCAGATGTATGGAGCAGCATAAAGTCAACACGTGCCATCTGGGTATGTAGATTAGTATTCTTTTGAATGTGATCAGATGAATTACTTTCCCCAAATCCACTAATTCCTGAATGACCTAGTTAGATTAATTTTTTTAAATGTGTACAGCTGGGGATGAGAGCCAGACTACCAGGGAACCCAGGAACATGCCTGGGGTACCCTCCAGGCCACTTGGTGGCTTCCGTTTTTCCATCTTTAATATGAGAAAGCTTGCTCCAATTCATTGAGGCAAATGCCACCAGGGTTCTGACTGCAGAGGCACTGGTGGAGGGAGGACGCTGTGAGGTCCAACACAGCCACTAACTGACACCACCAATCACAGTCCTGGCCTGAGGCCTAAGAGAGATGCCAGAGAGAGCAGGCTGGTGGTGGCAACAGAGGAGTAAGGGAGGCACATTCTGAGGTTCTTCCCACAGGATCTTTGAAAGGAAACATGGCTGAGATTGTTTTCTGCTGTTTTCTCTTCATTTGGGTCAAACTCACTGAGAATAAAGACAAAAGAAGAGACTTCTCCATAGCCATCTCCTTCCTTCTCCGTTTACTCCACGCATCTAAACCCTCTGAATGCGGTGGTGTGTGACACAGATCAAAGAGTCACACTAAGTTTGAAACCTGTCTCTATCCCTGGCAAGCTGAGAGATAGTCTATACTTCACTTTCTTCATCTAAAAAACAAAAACGAGGATAATAGTACAGAAGGTCACTGACTTGTGATGGTTCAAATTATGATTTTTTGATTTTACGATGGTGCAAAAGCAATATGCATTCAGTAGAAACCGTACTTCATCCTTTCCCAGGCTAGCGATGTGTGGTACGATCCTCTCTCCCGATGCTGTGAGCCGCAGCTCCCAGTCAGCCCCGCGATCACGAGGGTGAACAACCCATACACTTACAACCATTCTGCACCCATTCTGTTTTTCGCTTTCAGTACAGTATTCAATACATTACATGAGCTATTCAACACTTTATTATAGAATAGGCTTCGTGTTAGATAGTTATGCCCAACTATAAACTAATGTAAGTATTGTGAGCATGTTTAAGGTAAGCTAGGCTAAGCTACGATGTTGAGGAGGTTAGGTGTATTAAATGCATTTTTGACTTAGGATAATTTCAACTTAATGATGGGTTTATTGGGTTGTAAACCCATCATAAGTCAAGGAAGATCAGTACTTACATCAAAGAAGTATTGTGAGAATTAGGTGCTTAGAACTAAATCTGGCACCAAGTAAGTGCTTTTTTTAAATAAGTGTCAGCTACCTTATTATTATGATCATCATCCATATTATCGTTTTCATTATCAGAACAAGGAGAAAGGGTCAGCAGAGACCAAGTAGAAAATTACTGTGCTAATTCCAGTCTGGCATACCAGAGAGACATTGTAAATGCAGGCATCATTAATCTAAGGAAACTTATGTGACACCTTTGTGCAAATTAGAAAAAGACACCCTCCTCAGGACAATTCCCACTCGCTTTCTGGAAAACTATTATAAAACACACAAACACCCATGATCCCTTTTCTGAGAAAGGTGCATCCTTAGTTGTGTAGTGCACAGCCTTCACAGCTATACAACGCCCAGATCACCCTCTGATGGAAGAGACCACAGGTCTTGGTGACAGATGAGTTATTGGATAATAGAGAGAGAGAGGATTAAAAGGAAACTTGAGTGAGTCTAGGAAATGCCTGGATGTGTGTGCACAATTCTGGTAGGGGTATCAGAGTGTATGTCCCAAGGAGAAGGTTCATAGCTTTTCTCAGATGTAAAAAAAGTCCCCAAATTTAAGGAGCCCTATTCCAGAGATAGGAGATGAGATGATGTCGGTGTATGGAGTCTGAGATGATGCAGGAAATTAAAGCAGGCTCTAGATGCAGCTTGAGATCCATGAGAGCCAGTTCTGGAGGAGAGGTCACAGCTGGGGGTCCTTAGCATAACTTAACGTAGGAAACGCAAAAACTTAAATGGAGGGAACTTTTTGAGAGTGAACAGGGAAGGCTAAGAGCAGAGACCTCCTGGGACAGTTCCCATTTGTTAGGTTCAACTCTGTCCTGAAACACAAAGAATGCCGCAAGTGCACCCTCTCTGAGTCTCCAATTATGTGTCCTCCCCACAAGGAGTCTGCAGGCTGTGCGTCACTCACATTCACCTAAGACGTAGTCCCCCATGGCTCCTCCTGTAAAGACGAGAGATCCAGGAAAGAGGCATCACAGACCAGGCATCTTCTTGACTCTTCCCTGTCCCTTACCTCCCTCATCTACTCGTCTCAACCCTGATCACTCCCTTCCCAAGGAGCTACTAGATTTCAGGCACCATTATGTCTCACGTGGAATTGCTTGATAGCTTTCAAACCGATCTCCTTGCCTCCCATCTTACCTCCTAACAACTTCTCCATACCGCAGAGATTGTGTCCCTCCTTGAGTATTTAAATCCCTGCATTGACTCTCCAATGCTCGTATCAGACATCCCAAAAGCCTCCAGGGCTCTGCATGAGCTGGCTTCTCTCTGCCCCTCTTTTCCCCACACCACAGATGCTCAGGGGGGAGAAACGCAGAATTGGTGACTGACAAGTATGCAAAGTCAAGGACAAGGCACAATAACAATTTCTCACCTCCTAGTATGCCTCACCCTCTCCCACTTGCATGGTTGCTCCATCTGCGTAGACCTCCCCTCATCAACCCCACCTAAAGAAATCCTACTTCTTCAAGATCCAGAAGCCTTTGTTGATCCCCAGCTGAATGTGGTCATTCCTTCCTTTGACACTTCAAAGCATTTGCTTCATATCTGCTTAGGACCTTAGGGGGTCTTTTTTAACTGCATTCACTCGTGTTATGGGTTTCATTCCCTACTAGATTTGGGTTCTGAGAATGGCAACGGTGACTAATTCAACCTCAAAGCCCCTACACTACCTTAAATAGCACCTTACAAAATAAAAGTTGCTTTACAAATAAGTGCTCAAAAGATGTTTGTTGAATTAGAAGCTTTCATTCTGAGGAAAACCATTAATTCTTGCTCCCAGGGAGGTGCCAGTGCTCCCAAAGAAAAAGAGAGAAGAGAAGACTTCTCATGGATGCCAAATCCCCTCTGCCCTCCCTCTGCCCCACTTGCTGCAGGAGAATTAGTGTGTCCTGGGGGCAAAGGAACTAAGAGACTTCCTCCTTCTTCCTACTCACTTGAAGCTTGTCTTTTCCTTAAGATTCTGAACAAAATTCCAATGAAGAAGATGATGACACAAACAGCAATCCCACTGATGACTCCAGTGACGAGGGTGTTAGAAAGTGAGGGCTCTAAAAAACAAAAGCAAGTTAAGGCCCATGACCGCCGCCAGAGCCCAGAGCAGACCCTCCCCTCACTGCCATGCTGACCACTCTTGTTCCACCCACAACAGAGTTTCTCAGCCCCTGGCTCTCATCCATACCCCAGGTGGCAGTGAGTGGCTGATCCAGGCCTGGGTGCTCCACCTGGCAGGTATATCTCTGCTCTTCCCCAGGGGGCACGGCCAAAGCCTCCCAGCTCTGGTAGGTCCCGTCCCCGCTGGGCAGCACATCCTTAGACTCGGCGTCCTTGACATCCATTGGCTTCCTGTCCTTCAACCACCTCATGGTGATGTTCTGGGGGTAGAAGTTCAGAGCCTGACACCGTAGAGTGGTCACTGCAGAGGCCACATGATGAGTCACCTTCACCAAAGGAGGCACTGGACAGGAAGGAGGAAGGATCTGGAAAGAGGATCTTTCTACCCTTGCCAGGAAGACCAGAACTTTCACTTCCCTTCCTCTATGGGTTGGAGGAAGATGATACCCTGTTCAGACAAAGCAAGCTGCCAGAGAGACACCATTTTGTGTCCTAAAACAAGTTCCAAGATGTTCTAATGTGACATCACATGAAGACTAGTCAGTCTCATCAGCCTTTTCTCCTGTCTCATAAGTAAATATGCATACCTGTTGCCCACATCTTCTGTTTTTGTTAACATGTTATATTCAATCAGATGAAATTGCCCTTTATGTGGATCAAAAATCACTGAATATGTACTATCAGCAATTTTACCCGGTTCAACCCAATAATTATTCTTGTAAGATAGCCAGGCTTCAGTGACTATTGCTGTGTTCTTTGAAAGTAACCTTTAATCTCCAAAGGATTCTGCTACTCTGATCTTGCCTTACTTGGTACTTTCTTGCCTTACTTGGTAATTTCTTGCCTTGGTATTCATGTGAGAATTGACACCTCTGAATTTCTGAAATGTATAAGTAGACACAGAGTTCTTGGTTAAACCAAGAGAAGATCACAGACACTTCTTCTTTGGCCATATGTGTGGGGAAAAAAAATTAAAACCATGACTCATGGCTGTGTCATACATCTCAATGACAAGGTGGAGACCTCAGAGCTGGAGCCCCCAGGGTGAAAACCTCAGACCTCAGTTCCTTCCCAGAGAGTCACACAACTTTGGCCACCTCTGAAATTCCAGCCAGAATCCCGTACCCCCCATTACCCACCACTCCATCATAGAGTGTGGGGGCAGAAGGGTGCTCCCACCATACCTTGCTGGTCCAGAACCCCTCTCCCCAGCTCCAGCAACCACTGCAGCTGCTCAGGGCAGTCCCTCTCGAGATAGGCTCTGTTCTGCTTGGCCCGAATCTTGTTCACTTCCCACTCCAGCTTGGTGGTCAGGGCCCTGGACTCTGCTGCTCTCCAATCCAGTGTCTCAGGGCAGAATTCAAGATGGTCCTGCCCATCGTACCCGTACTTCCAGAAACCCCTGGTACTGTTGTCCTCTTGCACCTCACAGCCCAGGATCACCTGCAGGGTGTGGGACTCTGGCAACATCCCCAGCTTCATTACTGAAACCAAAGGAGTAGATCCCTGTCTCCACCATCCCAGGGACCGAATGACCTCAGACTCCTTCCCTCCTCTCTGACCCCCAGGACCTCAAACTCCCAGCTCTCTCCCTCAAGATGCATCCCTGAGGTAGGGAAACACTCCACCCAACCCAGGAAAGGGAGGCACTCTCGCCACGTACCCTTGCTGTGGTTGTGGTTGTCCATGATGGTCCAGAAGTCGACGATGAACATGTGATCCCACCCTTTCAGGCTCTGACTCAGCTGCAGCCACAGCTGGCTGTGGGCCTCACCCAAGACCCACTGGGCACGGGACTCTGCACGGCGACTCTCGTGATTGTAGGCCACGAAAAGCTCGTCATCCACATAGCCCAAGGCTTCAAACAGGGGCAGGCCGTGGTCCCGCTCTGAGGCGCCCATGAAGAGGTAGCGCAGAGAGTGTGACCCTGGGGAGAGGGCAACAGGCCTTCTCCGTGGGCCGCAGGGGGGATTGGGAGGCAGAGGCTCCACATACCTTCTGAATCAACTGAGACTACCAGCTGTGTCTGGGCCCACCCCATGAAGATGGGATGCAGTGCCTGCCTTCCTTCCCTATGAGCCTCCTGTCTGCTCTCTCCTTGTGCCCCTCCCTCTGCCATGTGTGGCTGCCACCCCCTCACTGTCTCCAGCCTCACGATTAGGGCAGTCTCGCCTGGAGCCAATAGACTCTAGAAAATCCCAAGGTGTTTCTAGCTACGGCCATTGCGCTCAGGAGTTTGTGCAAAGTGCTAATTCGATCCAAGTCCAGAGGAATTTGCTGTAGGGTTTTTTCACTACTTCCATCTGTAAACCCTTTCCTGTGTAAATGCTTGCTGTTAAATGCTGAAAGATCTGCTGATAAATAGAAAAAAATCTGCTGATAAATGGCAGCTCTTCAGCATCAAACCAGTTTCACAGCAAATACAGAAGACACTCAAACAAGCCAAAAATGACAAGACCTCTAGGGAAATGAGAGTTTCCCTACACCTTCCCTCAATTACAAAATGAGGGAGTTCAGTGATGTATCCCCAGTGCCTAGAACAGGGTCTGGCACAGTAGGTGCCTAATACATACTTGCTGGATGAATAAATGACAACAACTCCTAGGTTTTTATCTCTGGCCCTGAACTCTAGACTGTTACACCCAACTGCCTACATGACACCACCAGTTGTATGACTGATTGGAATCTCAAACTCAACAAGGCCAGACTAGGTTCTTGATTTCCCCCAAATGCTCTTTCTTTTGCCTTCACCATCTCACAAATGGCATCACCTATCCCCCTGTTGCTCAGGCCAATAAAATAAAAATAAAATAAAATAGTTAAGTAATAGAGTCACTTTTGACTCTTCTCTTTCTCTCACACAATACGTAGATCCTTCAGCCACTTCCTTCCAAATCTATCCAAAATACAACGGTTTCTCACCACCACCTCTGCTCCAACCAGGCCCAATGCATCATCTCTTGCCTGGATTAGTGCAACAGCTTCCTGGCTGCTCTCCCTGCTTTAATTGTTGCTCCCTTCATTCTGATTCCACAGAGCAGCCAGAGCAACCTTTAAAGCTATGACAGATCATATCTCTTGCCTGGAATTCACATCTCAGCCTTTGAGGCCCTAGGAGACCTTGCCTCTGACTCCTTTACTGAGCCCACCACCAATTCTTGACCCCTCGTCCCTGCACTCGTGCTACACGGCATCCTAGCTCTTCCTTCAACCCAGTGGTTCTTAACTGGGAAATTTCGTCTCTCAGCGGACATCTGGCAATATCTGGAGACATTTTTGGTTGTCATACTGGGGGAGTGTTACTAGCATCCAGAGAGTAAAGGACAAAGATGCTGCTAAACATCCTGCAGTGCACATGACAGTCCCCACAACAACAAAAAAATCAGTAGTGGTGAGGTTGCAAACCCTGCTTCAACCCAACTTGCCAGGCACACCCAGTTTGCCAGGAAGTGCTGCTCCCAATTAGCATCACTCTTGTTTCCTTCAGGTCACTGCTCGACCACCAGCCTGAGAAAGGGGCCTGCCCTGGCTCCCTGCTTCTCGTGTCTTCACAGCACCCGTTGTAGTGATGTTCTACAACCTTTTGTTCGTTTGTTTATTGTCACCCCTTCACTTGAATGCAAAATAGAGAGCAGGGACTTGGCTCCCTACTACCTCCCCTGGGTCTAGAACAATGCAACACACGTTTGGCACCGTTGGTACACTTGTGAACAATGAATCTTTCTGTTCAACATCAAATGTTATGATTCAACCTCTGATGCATTGTGATGTTGGAGAATCGCAGCTACGAAGTGGAGACATGGGGTTTGCCTCACAAGCACAGAGTAACACCAAATAAAGTTACCAGTGAGCAAGTCATGCCTTATTCTTGTCATCTATAAAATGTGGATACAGATGCTAGCTACCCTCAAAGTGTTGTCCTGAGGCTATGTGATCACTACAAAGCGCTGAGCCAGACAACATCGAGGGCAAACTCAGTCCGTTAAGATTAGAGGCAGTGGTAGTACTTCATTTAACATCAGAAAACCGGATTGCCTAAATTCTTTGTAACCTGGGGAGTTCTTTAACCTGAGCGCCAGTTAACCACTAGTAAAATCAACATATTAATAGCGCCTATCTCTCAAATGCATAGCAGAGTCAAATAAGATCACAGACCTGAAAATGATTTAAAACTGAGGTCATCACTTAAATGTTAGTTATCACCACTTTGGCATCCTTTAGTAAAGCCCTGTTAATTACACAGTACTATTAACACTGCAAATCAACAATCCCCGGCGGAAACGAGAGCTGTTACGGTCAGTTCAAAAGTTCAAAAATAACAGATAATGTTACTTTTCCAGGCAAAAGAACAATCGCCGAGAGTCCGTGAGGCCCAGGGCAGATATCTCTCAGGACCCTCCCACCCCCAGGGGCCTCCACTCCAGGTCTCACCAAAAGAGGTGGGGCTAGGGTAGAATTCAGGTCCCCAACCCCACTCCTACAGCCCCGAATCCCCAGCACGAGCAGTTCTGGAATGGAAGCCCCGCTGGGATCCGGCCGCGGGTTCACTCAGCCAAATGCCTCCCAGCCCTTCGCGGCGCCCTGGGGTGGACACACCGAGGGGACGCTCCGGCCAAGGTCGCCTTTGGTGAGAAGAACTTCCTGTTTGGGGATGACCAGGGATAAAACCACAAAATCACAGGAGAAACAAGAAAACCAAGATCTGAGTCCAAGGTCCCCAAGCCTAGCTCGGCCTCAGTGAGAAACGAAGATTTATATTTAAAAGAGTCACGATCGGGGGAGAGGAAGTAGGTGGTTCCGAGTGCTCCTCTGAGGAGCAGGGACAGGGGGGCGGGAGGGAACAGGGTTCTGCGGCGAGAGGCCCCATAACCGCATGTGCATCCCAGTGCCCGGAGACACCCCCGGGAAAGTTGGGGGAGGGGACTGCGCACGGGGCTGAGAAGTTCCTGCGAACTTAGCAAACTCCCAAGCGCTAGGAAAAGCTGGTTTCGATTTTCCCTGCCCCGCCGCGCCCCTGTCTTGCCCGCAGCCCCCAGACTCACGCGGTGGTCGCCCCTGCGCGGCCACGGTCCGCAGGAGGATCAGGAAGAAGAGCGCGGGTCGGGCTCGCGGGCCCATTTCCCCGGCTCGGACCGCGGGTGCTGGCCCGTGTCAGCTGCTTCGGTGGGGCGGGGAAATAGGAGTGACCCAAGAAGTCACCCTGCAGCCATTGCCGAGGCTCGGGGAAATCTCAGAAAAAACTTCCTGGCCAGTGGGATCCTTTTCCGGGCCACTGGTGAAAAGAAATGGGTCTCCTGAACTTGGACTCTTTCTCCTGCTGCCCAGAGTACCTGCTTGTGAAACACACAGTGGCCCAGCTGTCCCTCAAATTTTTAAATCCATAGAGGATGTTGCTGATTGGCGAAAGTATATTTAACGATTTTCTGATCTAAATATTCAATATTTAAATATTGAATAATTTAAAACTTCAATAATACATTTTCAAAACTTTTAAGTTCAACCCGCCAGTCTTGTTACTCGATTTAGAAATATGATTTTTGCGTATAAATTTCATCTGTCTTTGATTACAATTAGTTAAATCATAAAATTAACAAATTAGATCCCACTGAAATATCTTTCACAATGTACATAATTGAATTAAATTTCACGAACTTTACAGCCCATTAGAATCAATAATAATGGAGCACCATTAAACCTGCGGATGCCCTGCTCTTGCTCTCAGACACTGATTTAATTAGTGTAGGGTGCCAATTGGGCACTGGGATTTTAAAAGCCCCCTCCCCCTCACACACACACACAAGCACACACGTATACGTAACAAAGTTTGGGAACTACTGCCTTAAACATTTCAAACAATATTAACAAATTTAATACATCTTATTTTCCTAAAACCTTTAAATACCTAATAAATCCAATAAGCGTTGCCCTTTTAAGCATATATGCAAATATTGGCCATCTAAGAAAAAAAAATCAAACTTGGAAATTAGAGCCTCTCAGTGGGCTGTAGGGGGATATGAAACAAGATTAGGAAAATGTTGAATATTGGTGATGAGTACATGGGGGTTGATTGTACTATTCCTTTTTTTTCTTGGTAACATCTTTATTATTGAGATATAATTCGCTTACCACACAATTCATGTATATAAAGTGTAAAATTCAGTGGGTTTTAGTATAGTCACAAAGGTGTGCAACCATTACTACAATCAATTTTAGAACATTTTTCATCCTTTCCACAAAGAAACCTTGTACCTTTTAGTCATCACCTCCAAATCCCTCCATCCTCCCTACCCCCAGCCCTAGCCAATCACTAATCTACTTCCTATCTCTATAGATTTGCCTATTCTGAACATTTCATATACATGGAATCATACAATATGTGGTCTTTTGTGACTGGCTTCCTTCATTTAGCATAATGTTTTCATGTATCTCTTTCATGAACAAACAATTGTAAAGATATACCATATTTTATTTATCTGTTCATCAATTGATGGATATTTGGATTGTTTCCACTTTTGGTAGGAATAATGCTGCTCTGAACATTTACATACAAGTTTTTGTGTGGACTTATGTTTTCATTCTTCTTGGGTTTATATCTAGGAGTGGAATTGCTGGATCATATGGGAACTCTATGTTTAACCTTTTGAGGAACTGCCATATCATTTTCCAAAGTGGCTGCGTGATTTTACCCTCCCATCAGCAGTGTATGAGAGTTCCAATTTTTCTTCATTTTTACCAACACTTCTTATTGTCCATCTTTATAATTCTAGCCACCCTAGTGAGTGAGAAGTGGTACCTCATGGTGGTTTGGATTTGCATTTTCCTGATGACTAATGATGTTGAACATCTTTTTACCTGCTTATTGGCCATCTATAAATCTTCTTTGGAGAAATGTCTATCCTTTTGCCCACTTTTATTTTCCTTTATTTTTCTTCTTTTTTTTCTTTTTTTTTTTTTTTTGGTGAGTGTGTGTGTGAGGAAGATCAGCCCTGAGCTAACATCCATTACCAATCCTCCTCTTTTTGCTAGGAAAACTGGCCCTGGGCTAACATCCATGCCCGTCTTCCTCTACCTTATATGGGATGCCACCACAGCATGGTTTGACAAGTGGTGCATCGGTCCGCGCCCAGGATCCAAACCTGCAAACCCCGGGCCACTGAAGCGGAGCATGCGATGTTAACCACTACGCCACCAGGCCTGCCCACCTTTTGCCTACTCTTAAATTTGGGTTATTTGCCTTTTATTATTGAGTTGTAAGTGCCCTTTAAATATTCTAGATATAAGTCCCATATCAGATATACAATTTAGAGACATTCTCTCCAATTCAGTGTGTTGTCTTTTTACTTTCTTGATGGTGTGCTTTGAAGCACAGACATTGCTAATTTTGATGAAGTCCAATTTATCTATTTTTTTCTTTAGTTGCTTGTGCTTTTGGTATCATATCTAAAAGACCATTGCCAAATCCAAGGTCTCAAAGATTTGCACCTATGTTTTCTTCTAAGAGTTTATAATTTTAGTTCTTACATTTATGTCTTCGATCCATTTAGAGTTAATTTTTAGATGTGCTATGAGGTAGAGGTCCCACTTTATTCTTTTTCATGTGTGTAAAGGTAAAAACTCAGCTTTTTCCTTCTTACGTATAAGAAAAAGCCAGTTCTTCCCTACTGTGCTTTTTATCCTGTGTGTCTCCTTTCCTACTCACACAAAACCCTTCACTTCTGACACTTCTGGTCACCAGATTTGTGGAGGGTTTTCCCCACAACAAGAAGCAAATTTCCAACACCAGCAGGGTGTCCTACAATTTAACTGAATTCTGGCACTATCTACCTGAGGATAGTGTCAGATCCCACAGGTAAGGGCTAAGTCCCACAAGACTGCCCCACCAACCCACACTTCAGCTGCCAGTCTCAAGCCCAGGTTGTCACCTGTGCTTCTGACCAACCAGCTACAGATTAATTTGCTAGAATGTCTCACAGAACTCAGAGAAACACTTATATTTGCCAGTTTATTAAAGGATACAGATGAAGAGATACATAGAGTGAGGTCTGGGAGGGTCCCGAGCAAGTGCAGGAGCTTCTGTCCCTGAGCAGTTGGGGCGCATCACTCTCCAGGTGTGGATGCGTTTGCCAACCTTGAAGCTCCCTGAAACCCATGCTATTGGGATTTTATGGAGGCTTCCTTATGTAGGCATGATCAATTACTAACTCAATTTCCAGCCCCTCTCCCCTCTCTGGAGAAATGGTGGGAGACTGAAAATTCCAAGCTTCTAATCATAGTTGAGTGATTCTGGTGACCAGCCCCCATCCAGGAGCCAACCAAGAGCCCACCCAGAGTCACCTCATTAGAACAAAAGACACTTCCCTCACCAGGAAATTACAAGGGTTTCAGGAGCCCTGTGTCAGGAACTAGGGGCAGAACCAATATATATTTTCTCAGTTGTCCCAACACCATTTGTTGAAAAGACTGTTCTTTCTTTACTGAATTGTTTTGTCACCTTTGTCAAAAATCAATTGACTGTAAATGTGAAGATTTATTTCTGGACTCTCAATTCTATTCCACTGATCTATATTCCTGAAAGTGCTTATATCAAAATTAAGGATTCCTGTTCAGTGAAGGATACCATGGATAAAGTTAATACAGTAGACAGCTGACAGAATGGCAGAAAATTATATGCAATATCTAAAACAGACAAAATGATTAGTAATTAGAATATACAAGGAACTCCTATAAATCAAGAAGAACAAGACAGAAGCTCCAAACTGAAAATGGGTGAAAAAAATGAATAAGAAATTTGTATGGAGGAAAACCCAAAGCACTTGGTAATAAAGGTAATGCAAAGTGATGTATCATTTTGCATCTCTTAGATCATTAGCAAATTAGAAAGCTGAATGCTGCCCAGTGTTGTGTGCATGTGGGGACACAGGAATCCTCATGTGCCGCTGACAGGAGTGCAGACTGGGGCTTCAACTCCACTCCTGGGCAGGTTTTCTAAAGAATTTCTCAAACATGTCCCATGTTTGTGGGTGACCAGAAAGTGCAGGCAGACAGGGTATCCTTCGCTGAGAGAGCAGAGAGGTGAAATGGAGCAACTGCGTGATACGGTATTGGAAGAATCCACAAGAAGTTATTTTAGTAAATTAAAAATGCATGCATAGAAAACAAGGACATTTTCCTTCTGAAAGACATTTTCAACCAAAAATATCCATTTAACTCATTTTAAAGGAAGTCTGCAAGGGTGGAACAGGAATGGGATATGGGGAAAGAAAGGAATACGTAAGTGGATTAAAGAAACATACACACACACGTACACTCCTCTGTGCATGCTGTTGCTGGCAGAAATAGGTGGGCCTGGAAGATGAAAGGTCTTCTACACCCCACCTGCTGGACACAGCAAATGGCCAGGGATGAGCTCTCACTCCATGAAGGGAGACTGGAGACAAAAGGTGCTAACTGGTCTGGGGCTTCAGCAGCTGACTGCAGAACAGATTGAGAGTAAGCCCCGCTACCCTTCTTCTCATCTTCCTTATCAGATTAGAACAGTTTTTTTCAAAGAACTCCATTTCAGCCATGGCGAGAATGTCTGCTAAAATGAGCACCCAAGCAGTGGTGTTCATGGTGTCAGACGAAGACTGAAAGGAGATGCGAAATTTGGGGTTCAACAGGACTGAATGTCTGACTTCTTTCCCCACCTCACCAGGATGTGAGATTCTGGGTCCTTTGTCCCAACCCTTTGTTCAGGTGAATATGCCAGACCCACCCAGAGCTACCAACCCCGACAGCCTGGATCCATACTCCACATGCTGATGACAGTCCCATTCATGCCTCTGTCCTCAGCATGGCAGGAGTATATGGCTTCCTCTCCCCCAGAGACGATCACATTCACCCAGCATTAACAGGTTCCATTCCTGCTGGGCCAGCACCCTCTGTGGTCTGAGTCCAGGCTTTCCTGGCCCCTTAGCAAGCTTAGCATGATAGCACAGTGGAAGAAACGGGGGACTTGGCACCAAAACACTGTTTCCCACCAAGAAGTCTGATGGCTGGTCACATATGTTGAAGGAGGTTCTGAGGAGCAGGAGTGAGATGAGGAATGAGCCCTGGGCTGTCCTCTTCCCTGGCCTCCCTCCTTCCTGAGATGTCAGCTCACTCCATGAGACTCAGAAACCACTTACACGCCAAGCCTCTGGTCCTCGGCTAGTGCTTCAGCCTCATCGATTTATGTCTCTGGATACCCTCATGGATGAGCAGATGTTATGGGTTGAAGTGTCTCCCTCCCAAGAGTTGCTGAAGTCCTAACCCCTAGTACCTGTGAATATGACCTCATTTGGAATAGAATCT